AAGTGGGGATGCTGCCTCAATTTTACACACTGTATAAATATTTCAAATGTTAATAGCAAAATTATTGAACTGAAAACTTAGACTGGGTGGAAAAAAATCAGAAAAACATATTTACTGTACATTCTAATGCATGTTTACTGAGAAGACCCATTTTATCCAAAGGGGATACTCCCAGATATGTACAAGATTGCAACATCTGTGTAATTTAAACCTTCTATTTAAACAAACAAAGCTTTTTAAGCCATTATTTTATTAGAATACTTGTATATATTTTAAGATGTGACAGTTCTCTCTTATATTCTTCAGAATTTAAAAAGAAAACAATGCTCCAAGATCTTAAAACTGTTAAATTCATTTTCACATGCCCAAAGAAGTATAATTATGATATATATTTATGCATGCATGCTTCCTAGAGATTGTCATGGGAAAAGTAGTTAATTACAGCTTTGAAATTGCCCTGCTTGGCTAGCATTGTGGAGACTCATTATGTTACTAATTAACTAGAATGGGCAAGGAGCAGAACTTTTAGAAATGAAAAATAAAGCTACCAGGGAAAAATCCATTGTGCTTTTTTTCCTGCTCCACATTATTAACCCTAGATGCAACTTCAGCGTCACAGGTCTGCACTGGCCATCCACAAGAGACAGGTTGTGGACAGCACTACTCCATGGCATGGGATACGGGTACAAGGACCAGGCTAGCATAACCCAAGGTGAAATGGAGTCTAATACAGAGCAAGGTCTAATAGGAAGTCTGAGTCACAGCAGCAGAACATGCCAAGGCCAGGAACCAGAGAGCCAGTGTGGTGTGGCGGTTAAGAGCCTGGGACTGGGACTCAGGCAATCTGGGTTCGAGTCCCCGCTCAGCCATGGAGCCAACTGGGTGACTTTGGGCCAGTCACAGACTCTCGGCCCAGCCTACCTCACAGGGTGGTTGTTCTGGGGATAAGATGGAGGAGAATGATGTAAGCTGCCTTGAGCCCTTTGTAGGAAAAAGGCAGGATACAGATCGAAAAATAAACAAAATAAATAAACCAGAAGTACAGCTCAGAGCAAGACAAGGAGACAGTCACGAGCAAGCTGAGGGCTGAGGACCAGCAAGGCAGACAGAGGTGGAGGCACCTTGAGGCAGGGTATCTGGCAAGGGTCTGGCAAGATGCAGGAGCTGCAGCACAGCTCACAGGGAGCCCCGTGTTGCTGAGGGGGCGCAGCCAGGCAGGGCAGGCACAACCTCACAGCCAGCATGGAAACCCACATTGTGAAGCCACGTGGCAAGGGGCAGGCTCGACAACCAACAAGCAAAGGGAAGAGCTTGCTCTTATGTCGCTCCTGCCCCAGGGCTCCCAGTTGTGGCTCACCGGGAGGCTGAGAACTCCAGCAGGGCCGGGACTGATCCTGCCCATTCTGGCCACCACACGGAGCCCCAGAGTGGCCGAGATCCAGACAGGTTCACTTCCCAGCAAACGGCAAACAGCCTCCTTTTTGGGGTGCTTTGAAGACCCGAACAGCTGTGAAAAGCTCCATGGCTGCAGCAGGACCCCCGATGATCCCTCTGTGAGGAGGACTGCTCTGTAACCTATTAGACTGGAGTATGCAGACTTGTTTGTTTGCTGCCTTTGTATGCTGCCCCCATGGCCACGAGGCTGTCTGGGCAGACTACAGTATTCAGGGCTTCTTGCTGTGGACTTTGGTTCACACTGGCTCCCTGGCCAGTGCGCAGGAATCCTGGGAACTGTAGTTCCAAACACCTGGAGGGCACAAGCTGGAGAAGACTGGAGCACAACCAAGTTCCCTTTCTGTGCACTAAATCACATTCAGTTTGAACTGCTTTCCTGTGCCACGTCGGGGATGCTTGGTCCTGTTTTGTACGGATGCTGCCCCCCATGCTGTTGTGCGCCTTATCACCACACTTGCCATTTGTGTGTGTGCATTTGTGTTGCACACGTGCTTGCCAGGGCTTTCACTCTGCTCGGCTGCGTGAGAAGCAGAAATGCAAGTGGTTAAAGCTTTCATTCGCGTTGTGCCATCGCCACCAAGAAGTTCTACCTGTCGTGGGTCTGCAGAACACACCCTGCCAGGAAAAAGGGAGGGAACGAAACCGGGGGGGGGGTAGGGGGGGGAGGAAAGCTATGCATTTACAGCTGAATCATGTGAATTTGGCCCTGTGCCTTAGCTGAGATGAGAAACCAGCTTTTCACTGCAAGAACCTAAGCAGGACCCCTTTGGAATGTCCCATACCCAGCTGCTTGCAAAAGGAAAGCAAAATGGCTGCTTCGGAAGTTGCAGAACCTTTTCAGCCCCAGAAGCATAAACTGCAAAGGTGCTCCATGAATTTAGGCATCAATTACATTCATCAGCATTTGCCAAAAAGTGTGGGTGACATATCCAGGCTTCGGTACATTTCACGGGCAAGTGGGCAAGCGATCCAGTTCATTCGCATCAGGCGGCTGCAGACTGGTGAGAGTGAAAATCTCCAGGGGTGGGGAAAGGCAGAGAGATTTGATAAGCAGTCTTTACCAAGTCAGCGAGACACAACCCCAAGTTCAAAGGCCACATCAACGTCAAATGCAAAAGCAATGGTCTGGCAAGAGGTATCAAAAGCACATATCCCGTAACAGTACAGTGCTGAAGACACCAGGAGCTGGCCGGCATTGCATTTCAAAGCAGAGCTGGCTGAACATCTTCCCTCCACCACCAAGCGCTGCTTTCCAGAAAACACAGGGGACATTTTGAAGGAAGTAAGACACATTCCCATCTCCGGAGGAGAACATCCATAAGGCCATTCCATGCACTGTGCTGTGAGTGGCCATACCTCCAAAGCTCACTCAAGCAAGCAAGCCAAGCTGCATGCTTTACTCTGGTGGACTCATACAGAACATAAAGGGTGCCCTCTCTTTCTTCCAGACTACACTCCACCTTCCTGCAGGAGCCTCTTTCAGCCCAAGGGCACGATGCAATTTCAGAGAAAGTAGCACTTGGATGCCACGTTCCAAAGGTGGGCAGGGCTGAAAGCAAAAGGGGTGGACCTAGAGATACAAAACCACCACATACCTGCAGCTTAATCCTCTTATTTTTGGTAACTCAGCCTTAGAGGAGGCATCTGAAGCTTTTAGAGGAAAATCTGCAGAAATGCTAGAAGCCACTGAAGGACAGTAGTTGGGAAAATGGGGAATGTGGGACTGGGATTCAGGCAATCTGGGTTCTGGACTCCACTCAGCCATGCAACCACGTTGGTGACTCTGGGCCACATAGACTCTCGGCCCAACCTACCTCACAAGGTTGTTGTGAGGATAAGAGGAGGAGAATTATGCAAGCCACCTTAAGTTCCTTGGAAGGAAAAAAAGGCAAGATATAAATAAAGTAAAATAATATAAATAAAGGAGGCAGGCCAGAATGAGGGAGTCTAAATTGCCCTGCTCCACACCTTTGGAGCTGCTTCCCCTGCCATTTCATATCAGAAGCTGAACTTTAAATTGGTATTTTTACAAATTTGCACAAATTGCAGCATTTGCATTTAAAGCAAGCCTTCCTTCCTTTCCCCAAACAGCATAACACGGTTTCACTGACCTTTGCTCTCCTGCCTTTAATACAGAAAAACCCATTTGTTCACCCACAAAGCTAAGTAGGATCCAGTTAGGATACCCAGACTTTTAAGAATAAATTAACAGAAGCCATGCTTTGATCAGACTTGGGACCACAGGTCTGGGGGAAAGTATTTCCCCTACCCCGCACTTTCTTCTCGACTAAAATTGTGTTCCACCCTGGCTATTGCTAGTTCTGCCAAGTGGAATTTACTCATATCTGAGCTTTGGAAAAAGCCCTCCAGCAGCACTATGGCTCCAGCTCTTTCACCTGTGTCCCAGGTGTGCCTGCTATGGATTAAAGAAACTCAAACCTATGAGCATTCCTTATCATTGATGTCCTGAATCACAAATGACAGGCAGATACAAGCCTCCATGTGTCTCCTCAGAAGTAAATTCCATTGAATTCAATAGTTCAGTAATTATAAGTAACACTTAAATACACAAATATACAGAGAAGGTTCACTGCTACCTCCGGTTATGGGATGCTGAGATGGTCCTTGTTTTGCTTCTCAGAAGTTGGGAAGGGGTGCAGGTGGGTAGGTCTGGCTTAAATCCGGGCCCAAGCAAGCAAAGCCTTCTGGAGGGTGAAGTTTTGCCCACTAGGGAGCTGGACTTGCCCTGAAAACTGGTGGGGAACGACTGCAATCGCCAGGGGGCCACTGGGAACCGGCCCGGGGCCATGGGAGGAAAGACACGCAGGGTCAGGGGCGCACCGAACAAGCCCAGCAGCCTCCCCCAAGCTTGTACCCTCCAGATGTTTGGCCTTTAATGCCCATCATCCAGAACCAGCTGTGCCGTACGAGCCGTAGCAGCTCAGGATGGTGGGGCTTGCAGTCCAGCTCCTGGGGCGGGGGCAGCTTGGCGAAGGCTGAGCGAACGCAGGACCCACTGCTCCCCCCTCACCGCCCCGATTAGAAACTTCCAGCACAAAACGCGCTTCCTCCCTGCCGGCATCTCAGACGCGAGCGCCAAGCCGCGTCCCGCGCGCCCCCCCGTCCAGCAAAGCGGGGCGGGCTTCCCTCCCACCCGCACCTGTCCGGGGCGGCAGGTGCGAGCGCCGCAGCCCGACGCAGCCTTCCGCGGAGGGGTCTCTCCCGGCCGACTCCTTCGCGGGTCTTTGCTGCCCACCTCTTGGGGTTCTCTGCAGAACCGGGGCTGGGCCGATCCTGCGTACGCGGTTTCCTCTGAAGTAAGCCCCACGCCGTGTCCCAGGAGGGAGCCGGCAGTGGATGCTAACAGCCACCCGCGGCAAGATTAGTCCCCGGCGGCAGGAGCGCACAGGCAGGATCGGGGCGCCGACCGATCGATGCGCGCCTCCTCGGGAGTCAGCGCCCCCGCAGGAGCTGCCGAGAGGCTAGCTCCTTAGCTTCGCTCAGCCCCAACGATTCCCACCGGCCCCGATCTTCCGCGCACCCACCTGCTCTCGGGGAGACCGTCCGTCGGCGTCTTCACCAGCTCGCCCCGGGACTCCTCCAGCCGGATGCCCCCATCGCCGCCTTCTCGCCGCCCGCCTGCCGCAGCGACTCAGCCGGCCTCGCCTCGCCTCGCCTCCCCGCAGCGCCGCTCCAGCCGTGCTTGTGCCGCCGGCCACTCCCTCGCCCTCCTCGCTTGCAGGTGATCGGTTCAGCTGGGCCGGCGCCAGGCAAACGACATGCCCTCTTCCTCCTCCTCCTCCTCCGCCGCCTCCCGGGCCGAGAGAGAGCGAGCGAGCGAGCGAGCCGCGCTTCGTCTTCTCCAAGCAGCGAGGAGTCACCGACGCAGCCGTCACACGCGCCAATCTTATGTTCCGGTTGGCGCCTTTAAGAACGAAGCAGAGTTTCCTTGAGCATGTGCAGGGTGTATTTCCCGCTCCCCCTCACGTGGGCGGTGGTGCAGCCGCGCCATTTAAAGGCTTACAGGCTCGGAAGAGCGAGCGGGACGCTTCAGCCGCGCCGGACTCCACGTGAGCGGTGCGCACGGAAGCATCCAATGCAAGCTTGGTTGTTTTGGTTCAGTCGCAAAGTCTAAAAAAGCCCGACCTATCACGACCCCAGGGACAACATTCCTGCAGGCAATCCTGTCCTCCACCCCCCCGCCCCCGGCCTGGAGTCCACCCAAGCTCACAGCCACTGCCCCAGCGGCTCCATCCAGCCACCGCATCCTCGGCCGTCCCCTTCTCCTTTTGCCGGCAGTCCTTCCCAGCATCAGGCTCTTCTCCAGCGAGATGCTCCTTCTCATTAGGGTGAGTGCAAGCTAAGAGAGCGGGAAAGGCCTGCAAGTGGCGGCCTGCCCCCTTTCCCGGCTAAATGCGCTAAATGCGCCTGCAAGCTCGCGCTCGAGTCTCTCCAGTCCCGAAGCCTAGCAACGGACATGCCCCTCCTCTCCCCACCGCTCCTGCAGGCCTCCATGCCTAGAAGAGAACAAAACCCCGCAACGACCAGCTTGCAGACCCGGTTTTTATTTGCATTTTTATTTGTTGAAATACTCATGGCAGGTGCACTTTTTCATCTTAAATTCGCTTCAGCCAGAACGCCAGCTTGACTGGAGGCAAAAAATGGAGTTTGCTTCTGGTGCCTGCACTACTTGATGCTCTCTGGCAATCTTCTGGGAGGGGGGCTTGTTCGTGCCCCTGAATTTGATCATGACATCCAGCCCTAGCTGAGCCACTGCATAGGGGCCATACTGCCCTTTTGCAAAGAAAGCCCCTGTGTGAATGGATCCTCACCCAAGATGCCTGCCTGGAGACCACATCCTGGACAGGAGGGCCAAACCTGTGTTCTGATAAATGTTTCGATTACATATATTGTCATGCTACCTGGCAACTTGTATGAAGCATACAAACCAAAGAACAGCAAGTTTTTTGTGGCCATGCTCCCCCCGCCCCCCAGGACTGTCCTCTGTTTGAGGGCTGTTTAAAGGGCTGCCCAGGCTGTTTCTAAGTCCAGAGCCAGGCTAGAGCCAAAAGAAGGAATAGCATTTGTAATTAGACACCAGCTCTTTCCAGTTTAATGCAAAACCCTTTTCTTGACCACCCTGACTGTTTATAGCAGCTGGAGAGGGGTATAATTTTGACTGGGAAAACAGAGAACCCCCTTCTAAGCACCACTGCCTTAGTCTAACTCAAGCTAAATGTAAAAGAGAGGGGGGAAAGGTTAGCAGCGTTTTATGTATTAGCCCGAGGTGCATACATTTGAAGCACACAATCCTTTCAGCAATGCCGCCACCACCATCTATAAATCTGAAACTCTCCATAATATCCCATGCATTAAAAGTGACCTTTAATTCAGGAAGGCTTATGTCAGAATGAGAAGCTGCCTAGGTTCCCCCATTTATTTATTTATTTTATTTAAAGTTTTTTATATGCCGTCCCCTTGCTACATAGCCTCGGGATGGCTCATCCTGTATTGTTGGCAGATGCTGGCAGGATTTCAGGAAGGGGTCTCTTCTGCCCTACCCAGAGGTATCAGGGATCAAACCTGGGGCCTCTGGCGTGCAAAGCAGGTGCTCAGCCATCCCGCTACAATCCCATCCTCTCTCTTGGGAAGAGGGTAGCAAATAAACAATTCAAAAGATGTCAACCTAAGGAAGACCCTTCAGCAGGGGATAACCTCAGTGACAGCCTAGTTTTTTATTCAGGTCAGGAAATATACATTAAGCCTCTTGTGTTACACCTTACCGAGTATCAAGCAGGACCTCCTATTTGCTTCTTAACATACTTCTGCATTTTGTTCTTTCCTCCTCACTCTTCACTTGCTAATGAAGATTGGAAACAGAAGACTGATTGCTTGCTGGCTTCAGGCAACCGAAAAGGCTCAACCTGAGAGTCTCCTCCTGGTGTGAGTGGTGGCTGTTTCATTTGGACCAAATGGGGCCCAAAGTGTGTTTGAAAATATCTGCAAAGCTCTACCGTCATCCTGTGTTTAAGGACATTGTGGAAAAACCAGCTTATTCCGGGGTGCAGAGGGCTCCTTCACTTCAGCTCCTTTTCCAAGTTTTTCATGTAGCGCAGTTTCAAATATGAAGCCATTACCCTCCTTCAGGCTCAACCATCCTCCTCAACAGAATAGTTTCCCAGCTGCCGAAGTGGCTGATAAGGTAGCGAATGATACACTGAGGCAGCCATAAAAGTGTGCACTGGAATTAAGTGTAAGTAAAAAGTATAGCTTTCTGTTGTCTAAGGAAATAGCATATTGATTTATTGAATGTGTTTATTGCAAAGCTTTCCTTCCCACCCCCCCACCCCAAAAAAATCTTTCCCAAGTACTTAATTGCCTAAGTAAACACACCACACTTATCACCAGATAAACCTGTCTCCCAATCAAGCAGAAGGGGGAAAATGCATCAGCATCTGAAAGATATTTATTTATTTATTATTTATTAAAACATTTTTATGCCGCCCCATTCGCCGAAGCCTCGG